TTTGTTAACTGTGTAGGGTTGGCGACTGGGGACGCGCTCTAGCCTAACTGTAGCCCAGAACTCTGTGAGTAACAACTGTGTAAAGATATGTTCAAAAATGATTATCTTCTGAACAATTGAACTGTACTATTTCTAAATTGATACTGTTAATAGAATGAATGTATGTCCTCTATTCTGAACTGTATTGTGGCATCCTTAGTAACTACTGTTACTGACTGTTACTATTACAGAGATCTCTGTCGGTTCCCTTGTTGGAACCACTACTGTTTACTGATTGATGGCCATCATTGACTGTTCGGTCTTTCAAAACCTACTGTTTACTGTATTGTTATGCTAATGGATGTACCACATATGACTGTACTGATTGAACAACTGAAATACTGATTTAATGAACTGTTTTCATTACTGTAAGGACATTCATTCTAAATCTCTTTACACATTGTGTTATTCACTGGGTTTTAGCTCACTGCTCATATATATATGTAGGTGTACAGGCACCAGATCGCGGCTAGTAACGTCGGGGTAAGCTCCAGTTTTGTCAAGCCAACCACTATGCCTCACTGCGAGGTGCCGAGCCTATCAAGCAATGGCTTAGGGGTGTTTTAATTTTCCCCCGTCTATCTCTGTAACTGTTTTGTTAACTGTATAGACTGTTACTGTACTGTTTATCAGGGATTAGGTCCCTGCTCTGAATGATTATAAATGTCGTACATACTGTTTTGCACTGTGTATATATATATATATATATGAAAAGTCTTTTTGGCATACAGACTGTCACAGCTCATTGGACATTGTTTATTTACTGTATTGGCTTCCGCCAGGCCCATGTACTCTGTTTTACTGTATTACTGTTAAGTAGGCCTTCGGTAATCTCGGATTACTGACCGGTTACGGTGCTAAACCCATAGGGGCGGGTTTGGGTCGTGACACTTATCCTCAACCCACAACCCATTAACTTTCTGAACTGCTATGCTTGTTGCAACCGAGCAATCGAATCTCATGAATCCAAACCTTGTGTTTGTTGCCTTCCTCCTCTTTTGTGGGATAAATACATCCTTGATTATTCCAAACTTAGTGAAAAGTTTGAACAGACCTTTAAGGTCCAATGAGTGTGGTAGATTATCCACAAACACAGTGAACCAGCCCTTCGTATTACTGACCGGTTACGGTGCTAAACCCATAGGGGCGGGTTTGGGTCGTGACACTTATCCTCAACCCACAACCCATTAACTTTCTGAACTGCTATGCTTGCTGCAACCGAGCAATCGAATCTCATGAATCCAAACCTTGTGTTTGTTGCCTTCCTCCTCTTTTGTGGGATAAATACATCCTTGACTATTCCAAACTTAGTGAAAAGTTTGAACAGACCTTTAAGGTCCAATGAGTGTGGTAGATTATCCACAAACACAGTGAACCAGCCCTTCGTTGAACTTTTGCTCCATGCTCCTCTGCCTTGCCTCTGCTTCACCACGGGAATCCAACCTCCTTGCTCCATTTTCCCCAATTGTATTGCTTAGCTTGTAGGGTTTCACAAAATTGTCTTTTAACTATCAATTGTTATTGTTTTAAAGACACAAAATTGTCTTTTAACTATCAATTCAACCTCTATAGAAATGCTAATCATACCATTTGGGGGTTCATAGTTCCATGGAAATGCTAATTCTATCCCATTTTTTCACAAGCAAACATGGTCTAAATAGGGTTGACGAATTACTAATGGGGTTGAGCGAATACAGAGGAAACAATTTTCTTTTTATTCCTTTTGTTTAGGGTGGCAATGTTGCGCTGGAAGCAAGGAAGCATATTTCCAGTAAGGGTGTGTTTGGTAGCAAAAGAAAGGAAAATTTGTGATTCTACTTTCTTGGTTTTCCATTCCCATGTTAAGTTTTTGGATTTTTTTAATGAAGTAGTGCACTTGTTTGCTTCATGAGTTGGGGGGAGTTATTGCTTTAGGAAGTGGGATCTATTTATTCTCCTTTCTGCAAGTATAGAAGTGGGTTGGAATGGAAGTTTTGCATGCACCAAATTGATCTTGTCTCTTTATTTTTATTTTTTGGTTTCTTTAATGGGCCCTACCTAATGTGAAAGTGAATCTATTTTTATTTTTATTTTTATTTTTATTTTGTTGTTGTTTCATCTTGAGAGCAAATCCCCAATTTTCTTATTTTACAAATTTAAAATAAAAATAAAAATAAAAAATAAATATTCATACAAAAAATTAAATTGATCTAATATCAATTCATATTTGTATGAATATATTTTTAAAATTATATTTATCATTTATATTTTTTTATAAGATTTGTATTTTAGCCCAGGCTAAAATAGCCAAAAAAGCCAAAAAGCCAAAAAGCCAACCCACTTCCCAAACGGAGGCTAAATGATCTGTTGAAAGTATTTTATAATTTGAACGGTTTTAATTACTAAAATTACATGGGATGAATCCAAAATAATAGAGTTGTTTGTTGTAGTTTAAAGGAACTAATTATAGTTTATTTAATTTAAGACTTTATACTTATAACTTATTAAGCAAAAAAAAAAACTTTAAAAAATTTAAAAAATATTAATTATAGTATAAAAATTAAGAAAAATTTACTTTATAATTATTAATTTTTAACTTCTAATAAACTCTACCATATAGGCTAAGGACTGTTTTGAAAAGTTATAGCTAAAAGTCACATTTTAATTTTTAATTTATTTTAGGTCATATTATTTTTTATTTTTTAAAAAAATTATTTTTTAATCAATTTTCAAAACAAGAATTGAACTCTCCGACCCAAATTAAGAACAGTAAGCAAACCTGATTCATATGAAGAAACTGGGGGTGGTGGGGTTGCTGTCAACAGCTGTCTGTTTGTCTTGTCCTAATTGCCAGCTTGGTTTGTGGGGGCTGGTACACTGGTCCCCCACTATCCTACTAAAATATCATGGGAAAAATAATAAGAAAATGAGTGAGAGTATCACTAATGATGTGTTAGTGAATCTCATTATGAATGATTTGATATTTTGATTTTAGTGTTGTATTTTTTTTCTTTTTTTATTGAGTGTCATGTTATTAGTGGTCTTTTTAGAGTTTCGAAATTAGTGGTCTCTGTTGAAAATAATAATTTCTCTGCTATCTATATTGCTCAAGGATGACCATTGAACTGTATTTCTAACCGTCGAACTGCTCCTCCATGATCGCTGATCATGTTGCCTCAAGATTAGCTCCATTACGCCATTACTTGCAGTTAGGCTTCCCTCCTCAATTTGAATTTGAAATGTAAGTAACTGTTGAAGCTACATCACCTTGCATCTCTTTGTTGATCCACTACTACTCAGATCTCGTAATAACCAATACTAACTGCCACGTGTACGATCAGGATCAAAAACTTGAATAGTCTTCCTATATTATCCTTATTTTGCCGCGCGTCGAATTGTAATTGACTTATACAAGATATGTAGCCAACACTTATATAATAATTTTCTTCTATTTTAGAAACTTATAATACATTATTAAAATTTAAAATTGGTAGCCAATAACTATCAAGTTAAAATTTTCTTACGTTTTTTAATTTAAAATAGAGATTTGTTGATATAAAATTTTCACCCACAAAACTGCCCATCTCAAAAATTTACTAGAAAAACTCTGTAAAACAAAATTTATGGACCAAATTTATTCAAAGTGTAAAAACTTTCAATTTACACCATACTGTTATTCACATAAATTTTTTGACTAAATTTTTTTGCCTTTTACAATTATTGATTATGACATGAAGATCTATATTTTCAATTTAGTTTTTAATTTTTGTGTATTAAAAATATGGAAAATAATTTTTGAAAATTCAACCCAACCGTTTAAATTCTTTTTCATTTTAAATTCACATAATAATTTACCTCTTACTTTTAGTCATTTGCTAGTCATCATAAAGATAAACAACAGCGCTGCATACACCCAGTGGGGGTCGCGCTCCCAGTGACGTGGCGCCCCCCCACTGGCTGAAAACTAAAAAAAAAAAAAAAATTTTTTTTTTTGGGCCAATCCCTCAGTGACACTTCACTGGGGGTCGACCCCGAGTGGGGGTAGGAAGCATACATAAAAACATAATTATGCAAAAAATAATAATTTATCGAAGATAGGGGTGTTGTCCCTTTCACGATTCAACGTCACCACACCATATTGCTGACCTTTCTTCTGCGTCTTCTCTCATGTGCTTTTTTTCAATTTGTTTTGTTTTGCTTTCTTCTTTGTTGCATTTTTGTACTACCTGCTCCCTAACAAATGTCTTTTCAAATTTTTATTGAGGTCAAGTTTGGCTAACAAAAAAAAAGTGTATTTATTTCATCTTTTTATTTTTTTTAGGTTACATCAATCAACATCTTCTCTCTATTTTTTCTACACATAATGCAAAAAAAAATCAAAAAGTACACTTATTTAGTCTTCCCAAACTTAGCCTGAAGTCAATCCCCCTCATTTGAAAAAATTTTAAAAAAAAATTTAGAACAAATTTCATTTTACCAGTATAATTTGAGTCATATGTAATTCACCCTTCTAATATTTAAAAATAATCACATAATTCTTATAGGGCATGTTTGATTGGGTGGATTAGGGTATGGGATTAGGATTATTAATCCGTAGGTCCAATTATCTTATATTTGTTTTAACATTTTAGTTTAGGATTATTAATCCAATGGATAATTAATCCAACAAATTTGTAGGATTATTAGTAATGGGGTAGGGGTGTGATTATTAATCCAATGGATATTAATCCAATTGAATAGTGAATACCACACTAATTTAATAGGATTATTAATACTTCACTATTAATCTTGTAAATCAAACATGACCATATAGTATGGAATAAAGTGCATACAAACCTCTTGTCCACAGTTCATTCTTACTCAGCAACAACCACCCAATCACAACTTCTTAATAATTTGAACACAAATTCACACTAATTGCAAATTTTGTTTTATATAATTTTTTTAATTTAGAGCTTTTATTTACTATGGTTGCCAACGTCCACCCAGCATAGCCCATTCCCACCCAACAATTCCCACCCAACAATCACCATCTAATCACAGTTTTTCAATGAGGATTAAGGGTCACTGTTGTGCTAAAGGCACAACACTGACTGTTGTGCCTCAATATAAAGTGTATTATGAAATTATTTTTATGATTCGAACCGTTCATTATATAGAGTTTGCTGAATACTTTGTACCTAACAAAATTATATTAATCAGATATCAATAATTATATGATCGAATTATATATTTTTTATGTTATTTCTTAAAAGAAAAACTTATTGTTTATTTTTTTTGATTATCGATCATATAGTTATTAATATCCGATTAATATGATTTTTAGTAGGCATGAAATACTCAACAAATCTTCCAAAATGAACGGTTCAAATTATAAAAATAAGCCTATAATACACCTCAAGTTAAGGCACAACAGTTATTATTGTGCTAAAGAGCACAACAGTGACCCTTAATCCTTCCAATGATCTTGCACCCATTAATTATAATATTTATTTATTTTATTTTGATTTAGAGCCTTCGTTTTGTTAGTGATGTTGCTAAAAATTCAACTCAATGAATTTTGTTGTGATAATTAAGCAAATATATAGAGATTCATTTCTTGGTTCTCTCTCTACTTTCTTTCTTCACTCTCTAGACTCTATTTTTGTTGGTATTTTTTATAACACTCAGTTCAACTAATCTTTGCTATAAAAAATATATATATATATAAAAAAGCTATATATGTGAGTATATATATGTATGTTGCAATCGGTTTAACACCTATTTAAACCCATAATATAATTATTATCAAAATTAAATTAGAATTACTTTTATAAAGTAGAGAGAGAAACGAAAGTGGCACGAGATGGGTTTCCATATCACATTCGAAGATGCAAGGCCATTTTATAACCAATAGATATATTTATATGAGTTGAATGGTTATTGTGATGTTTTCCAACAAGTATAGGAAGTGTTGATGGATATGTAGAAATGAAGTAGATAGAGATATAGTAGAGAGAGAAAAAAGAATGGCATTTTTTATGAATTTGAAGTTGTGTAAGGGGTATTTTTGTCTTCAAAATGAACCTACTCTCCACAGTGATTCTCACATTATGTTATGTGAGATAAAAAAAAAGCAAACAATATAATTTAGTCTAAAATTACATAACGGTTATGTAGTTATTTTCAAATATTACGGAATAAATCACACATGACCCAAACCGCAAAAGATAAAGTGAAGATTGCCCAAAAATTTATAAAATATTCATATCACATTAGTATTGGTGGAACTCAAATACATGTAAATGCACCTTTTTATATTTACTTAAAATATAGATTATCTTTTGTTATTTCAAAAAATTGTATTTGACAAGAGTAATTAAAAAATTAAAATTCCTCACTTGAATTATTAATTGAAATAAATTTCTGACATTATTAAAAATTATTAATTAACTTGATAATATCTTAATAAAAATGATCATTTATTATTAAATTAAA